GCAAAGACTTTTACGTTCGTTTTAAATTAGCAAAAGTACGCTAATCGAGGGTTTTATTCCATATGATATGATGGTTTTTTTTATCAATGAATTTAACTCTTAAAAACGTTTACATTCTGGGTCTTCTACGCCATTGCGAACTCGATTTAACTTTTATTTGTGCAGGCGACTGAACCACGGCCTTAGATTCATAATACCAACTGTGTTAGAAAATCTCGGGTGGGCTATGACAACACTTGAACTTTTCCCAGAAAAGAAAATCTAGACTCAATGGGTCGTTTCTCACAAAAATGAAACCTTTTCTTTTCAATGTAGAGTACATCGTCACATACAACATCTGCATATCAACATTCCGCATTGCCACTGCTGGCGCTCCATAGTACGTGTGAAGAGACAGAAATACAGAATCTGATACTGGAACTGTCTCCATAATGGTCATTTCATTTTGTGTAAATAATTTGGACCCTTGAGTGGTTAACTAGCATATTATCTGCCCACAATGAAGACAGTCCATTTTTTGCTGAAAATTTTGAATATATAATTCCAAAATAAGGCGAATTCCTTCCTCTTTCACTCCGTTACGTGCCAAACTTTCCAGAAGCTCGCAGACACAGTAATTCACGATCCATGTTGTGTCTTGATGGCTAGATCAACCAGTGAAGGACGTGGACCATCGTGTTACGGAACTCAACCGCTTTCAACAATTTGATGTTGCTCTCGATCCGTGCGAACCCGTCCTGGGCGTTCTCTCCCTCAAGTGTCTCGGTCACCTGGTCGACCTTACTAACATCCACCCTCTTCAATCAAAGATTGCCGCTTTCCTTGAATTCCTGCCTACGCTCCTAAGTGTCAGTTGCGACGCTTTCTTGGCACAGAAAATATCTTTTGTAGGTTTTTACCGAACTGTGCCTAGACCATTCAGTGGCTCATTGAGACTTTTCGCTCGCTGCTGTTAATAAGGCGAAGACCGTTGCCACCCCAGTTTTTACTGCGCACCACACACTCCTATCTTCCGCACGGCCGCTGATTTCAATGGCGTTGTCGACACGTCTCTTCAGCAGCACCTGTCAGTCCTTGCTTAATTCCTAGTCCTTCTTTCCACAAAGTTATCACCTGCAGAACCGTGCTACAGCGAATGGGGACGGAAGATTTCCGGACTACAAATCCAGTATAAACCTTTAAATAGCGGAGATGGCATCATTTTTTGTGACTTCCCCACCGCCCACTTCATCCCTATCTACCGCTATCCGTTCGCCGTAATGTTTTCTTCTTACACAGTGCCTCCCATTCTAGGAGCCGTGGTACCGACACGCTGGTTCGCGACCTCATCGTCTGGTTTGGGGTGCACGATAAACCATAAACTTGAACATGGACGAACCTCAGCTGTCAAGGGAGCAAGATCCATCGGCACGCCAAGGCCCCATCGGTACCTTCCTCTGCCCTTGTGCAAGGTTTTATTGCGTCCGCCTGGACAGTATAGCTCTCCTTCAGTCCGAAGGTCGTTCTAATTACCTTGTTTGTGCGGACTGATTCTCCCAGACGCCGGAAACTATTCTTCGTCCTGATGTTCGAGTTTCAACGTTTTCAAAACTCTTCTCAGTCGTCGGGCTGCCATGCTCGGTGACCTTTCTGCAAGTATGTCAATTTAAATCCAACCTTTACTGGTTTCTCCAAATTTTAGGCTGTTCTTGCATTTGTAGCACAACCAACAATACGACTGCCAACCTGATGGTCGAGTAGTTCCACCATCAACTTAAGACCACCACATGCACGGCAGAGGATGCGTAGAACTGAACAGACCACTCCCGCCGGTTATACTGGGTATTCGTATCGCCATGACGCCGAACAGTTGTTCATCTCGAACATCCGACTTTCCGGTGAGCTGATGTCACCAGTTCCTCGGGGTGAGGCCATGGATCGCACCAACCACCTGTATTATATCCGCTAACTAATGCAGATCTTTCCTTTCAGACACGGCATCGGTCCCCGAATCTTATCTCCATAGGAACACTGCGAAATACACTCACGTCTTCCTCCGATGTGCCCTAATCCTTCAGCCATTGTAACGTCCATAAGTCGGCTCATGTCACACGAACTGGACGTCGCGCTCACTTTCCTGATCATTTGCATACTCAAGGTTAGAGACATGAACCAGTCCATCGGCGTCATCGCACACAGTCTTCGATCTAGCACCTCACGCTCCCTGTTAATTCGCTGCTGGAGTCGCCTAAGTATGGCTTTAACCTGAAAACTGCCCAAGTCTAACCATGGCTACGTCCTTCGCAAAAAAGCTGCAGCTGGATGCAGCTTACATACACGAGCTGGGTCCTAAGTAACCCAACGACAAGCAAACGCATACCCCGGGGACGACTTGCTTCAACTGCTCATAGAGCGCCCGCAGGCTTTTATTTACTTCAGTAAAAGCTTGTCCAATAATTCTGACTTCGATGAACTGTGGGCTGGACGACTTCGCGTTTGTCTACCATCGCACCTCGAGAGACTGCTTGTGGCTTGAAACAGTAAATACTGAAGTCTAAGCAATGGTGGCTTCAAGGGCCGGCTATTATTCAATCGGATTTCTTAAAGCTGATTTGATTGCTTGGTCTAACAAGTCAGTAAAATTGATGACACTTATACTTTATGTGCATCTTAAAATATCCTCTGTACTTGCATAACTAGTAGACAAATGTTGGACTGCTTAACAACTTCTTCAATCATCCTGCATCAGTTCTCAAGATCTCAAACAATACCAGGGGGGACTCGGACGGCAACATCTACCCGCCTTTACATCACATAAGCTTCTAACAAATAAAATGTCGTTCTTCGATGTTTTTGAGCTAAGTACCTCTAAATGATTTGGGGGACAGTCACACTATATAATTTCTCAGCAGTGGGAGAATGGTGTATTAGATTCGACCATTTTCTGCCACCCCACCGGTGATCTGGCGTTTTGTTGCTAAGTGCATTCTACGTCCCAAACTTGTATCGCTTTCTCGCAATGTTCTGACTTGTTAAAGTAGTGTACCGCTCACCGGTAATGATGCAGGGTGAAATAGCTGGCCTGGAACGTAAGACTTGCAGTGGTAAAGGATGTAAGATCAACTTAAACCGCATGCAATAATTTTGCCACTACAAATTGGTGAACCCAACGTGGCGAACATGCAGCCGCTACAAATTGGTGACCCCGACGTAACGGGAATGCGGCCGCCACACACGGCAGAACTCGACAATCACAAAGTTCCTACTCGATCTCGCCCTGCCGTTTTTCCTGTGTCAGTCATCGTGTCCACGGATAGGAAAACGCAACTGCCTATGCCCTGTCGCGAGTTGAGAAGAAACTAACCTACAAAACGGAGTCATGCAATTCCAGGTCAGACCCCATCCAAACTAAGTAGAGCAGAGCTCCAGCTGTGTTGCCATCCAAACGCCTCTCTCCTGTCCAAGACATTCTTCTGCCCTTTACCATCGAGATCATCATTCGCGAGTTACCTTCGTACACTCAGTGTATACATCGATGAACTCTCACACCTCCGACACTGCATTATATCCCTGTTTTTTGTGTATGGACGACAGTGAGCATATTGCACTGATGGATTCGTCTGACGCATCACTCACTGGAATGCCTGGTGTTCGAAATGTTCTTCCGTCTCATACCAAAGTGCCAACTCACCGCCACAAGTTGACAAGACCATGCCAGCACACCCATAGTTGATGCCTCAACCGCACCTCTCTACAGGTCGCAGCACCACCAACGCACGCATTCCGAGCTACTCCTGTCACCATCGACAAACGCTCTCACACCCGCATGTGCCCTGTCCAAATTTCTTCATTTCATCGTCTGTCTCACGATCGACACCTTCACTTCGTTCCGTGTCTAGGGGGGGGAGCTATTGTGGGCAGCCGTAATGGCAGCGTCGCGCCTCTCGCTAGCGACAGCCCGCCATGGCACGCACGTCTGCCAGCAACGAGGATATCGCTGCAGGCGTTCTCATCAGAAGCATACATCGTGGGAAGTGTGAACGTATATAAATATATATATATATATATATATATATTAAAGGTATTATACCGTACTCCCGACCTAGATACTTGCTAAAAGCCCAGACACGTGTTTCGCCGATTTTCTGCCGCTGCGTGACACAGCTGCGAGGGGTTCGGCTCTTCAGTGGGACCCCCAGTGTTCTCTAGCGGTTTCCGGTATATGATATAATACCTTTACCATATGAAATTCATACTACTCGTAGTACTTCTTGTTTGTAGAATGGGCATTACGTGGTTATTCCACAGTAGTTGATTGTCTTCGACTCAAATGTTCATTGAAATTTCGGTTCTGACCCTAAAAAGTCATGTCCCGGAGATTTAACTCCAAGTTCTGCATTGATTAATTTCCGAAATTATTCACCTGATATATATATATATATATTCAGAGGGAAAGGTAAACTATCGTATCCGGAGAAATGTCATTAAAACATGTAGTGTCATTGTGAGGGAGTGCACACGATGCCACCGCTGAGGGAACTTCATAGAGGTTAGTACGGCTGGAACTGTAAGTGACTGAATCAATTATTTCAAGGCTTATGTGCGTGAGTAGACTATACTTCAAAATTTTCACATGCCAAGCAGTTTGGCGAGAGGCATATCCGTGAATATTTAGTCCATATTTGTGGCACTGTAATCATTACTAACATAAAGGTAGCAATATGACTCTAAACACTGTGCATATATATTTCTGAATATAAAAGTACAGAAGCCGTCGAAAAAAGTGGAAACCGTAGAGTCTACAGGCAAATCAGAATAGACGTCAGACAATGAAGCCTAAAACAGCACAAAAATTTATGGTTATATGTTATCATTAATATAATCATTAATTATTCTTTAAAATATGGGTTCTGACCATCCTGAAATCTTTAGTCACAACCCAAAAATGACCGTGAAAATATCAATCACTGACATGATGCAAAGTGTCAGCAACGCAATTACACGTTCGAAGAAAACTCACTTTATAATAGTCGCCTTATTTCATCGTCAATTATTCTCTGAATATCCCTAAAAAAATGATTAAAGGAGTATCTTAAGATGACTTCTTTCTGGAAAATTCCAGTCATTCTGCTAGCTTAAGAAAGGCACTTTCCATCTTGACAGAGATTTCGATGAAAGAGGTTCATGGGGAATGACAGAGTTTAACCTATGCTGTAACTAGCAATCAACTTGTTTCAGAGAAGGAAAGCTAGGGTACATAGTTGCTACTTGATGGTTTGTTGAGTGTGGAACGTAGAAATTAAAGTAGCGTAGGCGTTCATCGGGAATGGTTTATTTTTCTGACATTTCGGGTAGTGATTTCAACTACGCATATGAATGGGCTAAATAGTCGTGTTCACAGTCCTGGTTATGCAATATCTGGGTTGCGTACGTATTATGCCGGATGCGTAGAGATGTCGTGATGTCAGAAGGATGTCTGCACTTAATGGTTCGCCGTACCACTTGAAACAGGAAACATTGTCAGTTGTTTGGGAGACCACTATGAACGGGTCTGCTAGTATTTACCCGTTGTTGCCTTGGCTGGGTGCGGCAAAATGGCATATTTTACAAGGCCCAGCTGTAGGTTATGGGGAGTGAATACTACTCTAGGTTGGTAGTAGTATTTAATAAATAAGACAAGTAACCAGGACTTATGACATTTAAACTTAACCTAAGTATTGCCCGTCAACCCTGTTGTCCGCCATTTGCAAATTATCCTGCACCAAGGCCCTTTCATTTGGCTTGTCATCAACGAAAGCAACTAATCTGGGAAGACTGTTCCCCATGAATCTACGGTCAGTGACTGATATCACGAAACTTTGACCGAAATTCTGAGTTGCGTTGTTGATAAGGACAGACTATTTAAGTGGGGTTGTAATACTCAAAAGTTTAGAACACAGTGTTTCGGACACCCTAGTATGTCGGCTTTTGGATGGACTTCCTTTCGGCCGCCTGTAAATACAGCACCTGATAATGGATTACTTCTTAAGCAGTCTGCATTTTTTTCTAGTAATTTTCGATGCCTTCAAAATTCGTGTATTTTCAGAAAAATGTGATCCAAAATATTCTATCTTCGACAATGTTGATAGCTAATCATGTCTTCATCAAGCATTTTACTAAAAAGACTATATTTTGGCTCTGAAAAAAACCTCTAATGGCGAAATGATTCATGTATTTTAAAGAAAACTTAAGCTGGCGTTTTCTATCTTGCACACTGTTGATAGCTAATTATGTCCTTATCAAGCGTTTTACTTGAAAATACCATATTTTGGCCCTAAAAAATTCTTATTGTAAAATAATTCAAGACTGTACAATGTCCATTTAAACTACATCATATCCGTACGTTTATCAATACTTCGCATCAAGTACACGATATAGCCCAAATCGATTGCATAGTCGTTTGAGCACTATATATTATCTTCTTAATGACATACAGGAACGTATTTGTTCCTTACACGTTAGGCATACATCATGTGGACTGAAAATCCTAAAGTCAAACAAAAGGTAAGATCTGGCCCAAAATTACTCCAGATTTGTAAACCCTTTGTAAACCTAAACATGAATTTAATTTAAGAATAAAACTTAAGCAATGTACTATCAAATGAATACGAGAAAAGTGCTTTTGCCCACTTTTTCTGCAAAATGCATTCAAATATTTTAGGCGACTGAAAATGGATAGAACAAACGCGTACTACCAAAATAGTTACTTTCGGTCGAGTGAGGTTTGTGAAGGAGGCCAGAAAGACATCTACGCGAAATGTTGTGTCCGACATTTAATGGGATTTTGCTCCATGTTGATACATCTCAAAAGCTACTTAGGAGCTCCTTCCTTATCGAAAACGCATTTCAGACGTTTATTTACCATTTCATGGGATCTGTCACTGTGTATTTGTAGGCTTTATTTCGCCTTTTCACCAACAATCACTTTTAGTGGCCCGAGATCTGACTACTTTAGGGGTCATGTAGTAATTCTTACCAGTTGAGTTCATCCTAGTTTTGTAAGACCTCACGATACAGCCATTAACAAGAGAGACCATTGCATTCAGATGGCCGAAGGAAAAGACAGTAACAGAAAAGCTGGTCTCGGTGCAAACCTTAACTGTCTCAGCAATTTGTCTACAGCTTCAACCTCCGGATGCGACGCGTCCCATTCTTTCACCAGAGAAGCGATTTCCACGGCTTGGAGTCCAACGCCGAAATATGAAATAGCTCGGGCCACTGATCCAAGACATTTGACTGATGCCACATATGCCGTCTTCTTGGACACGTCAAATAGCTTCAATGTTTGCGTAAGACTTCGCCTTAGAAGAGTCCAGTTCCCTCGTAAAGCCCCTATTCCGCTCGCAGCGGACATCAGAGCAAGAGGTCCTCCATGCGAATTTTGGGAGATTTCAGAGGGACGGTTGCGTATCATTTGCCCAAGTCGTTCCGCGATTTGATCATAACTTTCCAGAGCTCTGTTTATTCTTTCAATAGTGTTGCTGTTATGGCAAACAACATTAAAACGTGCGTATTATTACGGAAGGGGGCAAAATCGTGCATAACAGCCTACCTTAACCGAGTAACCAGATATTTATTCCTTAATGGGCAGAGTAAGATGAGGCTGTTCGTAAGATAAACACATGGGACTGTCACTTCACTGTTCTGGTGAACATAGAAACCAGGCACCCTCCACATGCAGGCAAAAACTAATAATTCGTTGACATGGGTCAGCGATTTTATAGGTGATCGATTCGTCTTTGCTCTGCAAATAATATTCAATTTCCGATTGCCCTCCATAAGCTAAACTAAAATATCAGCGTAGACCTGTGGTGATGTAAAAGAAAATGCAGGCTTAACATTCAGCCCTTGTTACCATCGCATTTTTGTTAAGGTTATCTCAGGTATACTTGTCAGGCGCAGTCTCGCAACTTAAACGTCCACGACGCTACGTAACATTTGTTTACTTGAAACACAGCTGAGAGTAGTTCTATGGAAATAAATAATGTTATTAGGAAGGACATCTCGAATTTTCCTCTATTAACAAAGACCGATGAAAGATGTTGCAAGGCACTGAGTCTGATAACAACAACAATAAAAGCTGATGAATCTAACTAAGAAAATGGCTTAGAAGGAATAATTCTGACGATTTTGCCAGCACTCAAAACCAGGAAATGTACTGCAAATGCAGTGGTTGTGGAAGGGACATTCGACCGGTCTTTGTACTTCCCTGTAGGTCTTTGTTATCACACCCTATCTTCTTTATTATCGAAACTATAAATAACATATATGTGAATCGAACTGAGCGATGAAAAGGCGACTTCTCCTCTTCACGAGATGCATTCCTGGTGGCAGTCAGAAAGGTGTCGGAAAGGACCAAATTTTGAAGATTATTCTCCTACTTGGACTTCTTTGAAGACGAAGACTTGAGCACTGATCACAAAATGTACTTAAAGACTGTTAAGGACGTGGCAACACACCAAAGGAGGTTTTTCATCTAATCAAAAAATCTAATTTCGGGTTGTTAAATCTGGAGATCCATTTGTTCGTAATAACATTTAGCGTCTAAGCCAGCATATAAAAACGAATTAAAGTGGCATTTTTACACCAGGCGCTTGTTCCGTTGTGCTTTGGAACTTAATATACACACTTGCAAGCAACTTTGCAGCAGCTAGCATAGACAGAATGATTCCACTACGCATGTCGAACCTTTAATGTTGCCGACCTCAACCGACAGGGCTACGAGAACGGGCGTCAACGTACATAGCGAATGCACATCCAAGTGCAATTGGCGTGCTGAATATAATGAGCTACTCCAGTATGCTGCCCTTTATGGACTGGCGTTTTTACTCGAGGTGATGCAGTACGCCAGGACTCTCGTCTGTGGCCGTTATGGATACCAAAGGGACTTGGTTTTCAGACGATCGCTGCAGAAACTCGCTGTATATGAGACGGGGACTCTGCAAGGCGGTTTTCTGATTGTGTTTAACGTAATGAACAGATTTTCCCAAAGTTTACCGTGCATCCGTTAGGCAAGTCAGACTGCCACCGATCAAGGATAGAAAGCTGGCCGACAGAGAGGATTCGGAGGCAGATTACTGCAGGGTGGTCACATCCGTGTTCGAGGATAATATCGGCATCGCGAACCTTTACATAAACGACTGCTGTAAACTTTCTTTCATTCAGTTTACGTTTAATCTAGCTGACTTCTCAGGAGTGAATATTATGTCTGCGAGATAACAATTGGCCATCGGGAATCACGAATGCCGGTCAAATAAAGTCGTCAGCTTCTAACTGACAAGTGCGACTCACGTATCCGTCAAACGTAGTTAGTCCTGTTCGTTATGACGACGGCATGTTTTTTCGTCTAGGAAATCAACGATCATACTTTTATCTAACCTCAGATCTAAGTGCCTTTGTGTTGTTTTGACTGGTGACGTTAAAGAAATTTTTGACGACGTAAGCTAGGGCCAGAGCTGCATGTGTCCGAACGCCCATGACTGGAACGGAGGGTCGATGGAACTGAATAGTTGTTATCCTGAAAGTACACATACGTAGCAACCTCGAATCGATTCTCAATGTCCTAAATAACACTCTAATTTCAGCCCGCTCTAGACTACCATAAATCTGCCTATATCTTTGAGAAGACGAAAACGAGACTAGATCCCCTCTTGAGACTCGACGCACTGGTTCGTTGTTCTATTCCCTTTGGCGACATCTGATAGTTGCCGAATATCTGCATCGGGTAGGGGCAAAAAAGTAGAGGCTTCTAACGTGGGAAATTAGTGCTCCTAATCCACGTGGACTATCGTGAAATTCCAATATAAGGACGCAAAAATAAGTCGACACACCTCATGAAAATCAAACATCTGTAAGTTTAATGATGTCTGTATTATTATCATAGTACAGTTATTGTACCGAAAATTTCTAGGGTCATAAACGTATTTCGACATCATATGCCGATCCCAGGGAATTCGTATAAACGAGCAGACAACTTTTGTTCTCCAGTTAACAGGAATCACGAGGTTAGAAGTTATTTTCCAGAGTCAGCGATGTCAGCCCAAGGCTGGTTGTCATAGCCATAGAGTCTTAGAACTATCGGCCGAAGCCATAAATATGTCCTAGAAGCAATAACCCTTTTGGAAGACTTTAAAAGGTATAATGTTCCAAAGTCCAGGGGGGACTTACTTGCTCATAGTAGCACGAGTTTTGTCCGTTATGATGCTTGTACCCGCACTTACGGATTGTATTGTCCCTCCAACACCAGTTAAGAGTAACGAAGTGCCGAGACTCATCGGTAGTCCAATCAATCCGACCACGGACATTACGGTGCCCAAGGTGGAGGCTGCAGTTCCTACAGTCGACTTTTTTAGCCAGTCATCACGTATTTGGATGAGCTCGTCACGCGCTTCCTCGATCAGTTCGATCAGGACCCTTGTGCGAGCGGCAGCGTACATGAGGAACTGCAGGTAGTCGTCTGCAACGCGCGAAACTTCTATTAGCGCCGATATTTTCGTTTTTGTCAAATGTGCATTAGGAAATGTCAGACAATGCGGCTTAAAAAATAGTAACCGAAGAATCGGTCCTTAGGTTTACCAAATTCCGATGAGAATATTTTCTGTATCATCCAGACGTGGAGCAACATGTGACTTTGATGGAAGGTTAAGACACATCTAACCTAACGTTCCAAAAATTTACCACACATGGATCATTTAATTTGCATAAATTTCCAAACCCTTATCATAGTTGATCATAATCTTAATGGGAAATGAAGAAGAAAATTAGCCTTTATGCATTGTTTAACGGCATATTGCGAGAAACCGGATAAGTTCTACTTAAGCACACTGTGTACCAAAGAAACGACAGTAAGGCATAAGAGGTTCAGATTGTCATAAAGATAATACTATCACCTAACTAGCGAACGTATGGGCTTCGTCATTTACGAGCATCCGTCGACTTCTTTGAGAATTAAATCTCTCAACTTATGCCTGCCATCTGATGGCATTTTCGTCCAGTTACCGCCGAAATCACAAACAGGAAGTATTCGGGCAAAGTTCACGTCTTATTCTTTCAGCGGAGTATTACCAGAGTTTTGGGTGTGAAATATATCCCCCTAAAATGAAAACATAATTGACTGGCAAATGCCTACCTAAATAATGTATGATGTCAAACAACAAACATAATCCGTACGCGCCGTCTTTTTTGGCACGAAAAGTAAAAGTGCTAGAAGGGGCCTGTGAGTAAGACATAAAACTGCGCCTCCAACATTAACTGGACTTATGCATTAGCACTTTTACGTAGACTATAGAAATATATTTCTCTAACCAATAAATAAATTTCATGGGCCCTATTAGGACAAGGTAATATGTACGAATTGGAATGCTGTGCAGGCATATAGCTTACAAAACGCAATTAATACATTCAGCACATTTACAGAAAAGCCACCAAATCAAGCAAAGTATTGAATACTTGGTTTGCTCACTGGAAATAACGGAGGCTAATTATGTTATGCTAGTCTAACTCCTTGTCACAGGTCATCCCCCTCGTCGACGCCAGTTCTTTACATAAAGGGGTAAGGGAATGGGAAGAAGAGAAGACTATGTGCCTAGTCTGGATTCTCACGCATGTCTGGACACTTTGCAGGTTGGAAAAATAATCCCTGGGTGCTCTTGTACTGTGAGTGGTAGAGTCGGGTATGGGTAAGTGAACGCCCATGTAAATCCGACGTAACGACAAAGTTGCATGTTTTATATTGTAGAGTGGTCCTTTGGCATGAAAAAAGGTTACTGTTCACCCATAGAGACGAATACAAACAGCCCAGGAGGTGATTTATTTTTCCCCATCTAGCCAAAATTCAGAAGTTGGAATCTAAATCACCGCTTTTGCCTTCATCTGGTTGCCTTCCCTAAGGAGAGGAACGTACATTTAGTACTTACATTATTTTGATGGTTGCCCACTAGCGCTGGCTGCATCACTGAACTATATCGAGGTGATCTGTTGCTGGTCGATTAACCAACGGACGAAAAAAACTATGGACAATATGTCAGCCAAAATAAAGTTTATCCTCCACTGAACCGTTAACAGCGAAAAGCAAGCAAGAGATGTGACCCTGTTTAAATGCTTCTTAGTAATACCACTTTGTTTACCACTTACTTTTATGTTCTTTTTTGTGCAACCCTTATTTGAGTCGCTGTAGTTTTTTGGCAGGTATCGAGGTTTGCTTATGTTCTGCGAGTCGGTATCGTCATGCATTTTTCAAAAGGGCCGTTTACAGATGCCTTGCAGAAGGTCATTAAACAGAACCGTTTTTCAGAAGCAACTTCTAACTACGTTTTGTACAAAACGAATCTGTCTCGGCTGGCCCACCTTAGTCCTGAAGCTGCAGGATATAAAGACAGTCAGCAATACGAATGACTGGCCACAGACAGGTATCGTATCGACCTCACATCAGCTAGAAAGTGCATAGTGATGGAATATTATGTGTTAAAAACATACTCTGTGATCAACGTGGATGTATGCGCCTGGTATTTATTGAATTCACTAACATTTTGACCACGGTTGCTATCCAAAGAACTTTTCACTTATTAGAGTTTATAAGGCCAAAGTATATAACACGTTAATCTGATCACCTTCGCTGAGAGACTTCACTAAGTATTTTAACATACTTTAATTAATTTAATAGAGAACCTATCGGTTCCCGAGTAATAAATTGATTGCCGTTTATCAAGAACTAATTTTGATCTATGGAAAGCATATCAGAACCTTCTACTGATCGCCGGTCTCCCTCGACACGGTAATCACGTAAGCGATCCCTTCGATAATTAGTTATCGGATAGATATATCTATTCGATATCTCCTCGATATAGTTCGAAGGACATTCAGGGTTTTCTCCTCAAAAATTCCCGGAAGATTTTCAGCCTTCGTATATTACATTTCCTTATCAATTTATCCCTTCGAGATGTACTACTTACCTCCCCCCGGGGGCCCCGACATCATGTTATATCCTGTACCCTCGATCTGTAAGATCGACCTTGTCTTTGTATATTGCGCAGCGTTGGTTAGTAAGTGATCTTACATAAGCTTAACACAGTAGCTGATTGTTAGATATGTTATGATTATTATGGAAAATATTCTCGATTCCAACCAACGCTACTAAATGACATCTCAGAACTTGTGGTTTCGATCGAAAATCATCTAAAAATTCACCTAATAAGTTCTTTTTTAAGACTGGGTCAACTCAATAAGGGAATGAGGCTGCCGCACTTGAACTCTCTGTTCATATCCCAAAACAGCAATAGAATTGACTTTTGCATCATTAATTTTTAAAAGTTTAAAAGTAATCGGTATTTGTGGACCGGGCATAAACTGTCCCCAAAGAATATATATAATTATGAATTTGAAAACCGACATCCGAAGTATCGTAATCAGGAAGAAATAAGCTCTTTGGGAAAGATAAAGAAGTTTTATTGTAAATTTTCGACTTTGGTTTCCTAAGTCGTCCTCAGGAAATCCATCCAAATACTCTAATAGTTTCTGAAAGAAACATCGAGTCAGGGGGTCTTTTGAATGCCTCACTAACCCACTTCAGTAAGGCATTTAATCGGACTACTGATTATGCCAACTTCCCCAGTTTTATAGAGGAACAACCACGTAGACGGTCAGCTCCGCCTAATTAAAAGAAATTGTCAAGATTTTAGGACATGCCCAATGTCTCTAACAATGCGATAAGTTTTGATTAGTTCATCGTGGGATTGTCCGTAATCACGACGTTACAAAAAAATTCAACCAGTCCTTTTTCTTAAGGCAGATGACCAAAAACCATGACCATCTTCGTAGCCCTCACACGTAACCTTATCAGCCGTTGAAAATGCTTCTTAAACCACCTTTGCCAGACGTAAACGATATAATCTAAGTGGGATCGACAGAATTCCATGTAGGTTTCCCCGATCAGTTCTTTTCCGATCTGCACAAATCCTCACGTCAGCACAAACAACGCCCGCTCGTGACTTTGGCTCCCACTAGACGATGCTATGATGTTTTAAGAAAGGAAATCGCTAGGACGCAAGTTTCTTCTGTTCTTCGACATCAAGGAGGTATCAAAGGGAATCATCCCCTTCGCTTGTCCACTGACTGCGGATTTTAAGGACCACACATTTTTTCCTTGATCTGACCAACAGTCAAATCGGTTAAGTTCTCTTAAAGTACGTGCCTATCTGCATCAGATCTGCCGATTCTTTACAGTTTTCTGCCGCCCGCAAAAATAAAGCGTTACATTCTAGGTCCCTTGCATAGATCTCTCTATCCAAACCACGAATATCATCGGCCCTTAAACTGAGTCCTGATGGATTATATTCGAGGCACCGACGCAAGCGAGTTGTGATCCTCCTTTAAGGAACTTTGCGATCCATGCCATAATCCTTCCTCCTATTTCAACATTCAGACAGTAATTGATTTGGCGATTCCGTGAGACACTGGTGAAATCCACGTTAATTATATCAAATGTCTTTGTCCAGTGCCGAGTCAACTTTTCGGCAGGATGACAGCAAGCAGCTTTCGACCTATAAGCTTAACTTGCCTCCCTTGCAAAACGATGGAAGCTATAGTTAAGAAGGCTATACAGCAATTTTATGAAGAAAATAACATCTTGCAGGATTTTCAACATGGCTTCCGGAGAGGACGTTCCTGCCTCTCAAATCTGCTAGCTTGTCTGGAAATCTGGACCAGGGCTCTAGAAGAGGGTTTTGAGGTCGATGTCGTGTATATCGATTTCCGCAAAGCTTTTGACACTATCTCGAACCAACGTCTTCTTCACAAATTGAACGCCATCGGCATCCGAAGAGATCTTCTGAACTGGATTAGGGCGTTTCTGGTTGGTCGGAAACAACGTGTCTGTATCGGGGATGATATGTCAGAATGGGTGAATGTGACCAGTGGTGTGCCGCAAGGCTCAGTTCTGGGACCATTGCTCTTCATCCTTTACGTTAACGACAGCCTTCAGGAACTCGATTGCGGCAAAATAATGTTTGCAGACGATGTTAAGCTCTGGCAAGTCATTAAGGGTCTGAATGATCAGAGATCCCTTCAAGATAATCTGCACCGACTGCAAGCGTGGTCGAAGAAATGGCTTCTAGATTTCAATGTGGAGAAGTGTGCCGTCCTTTATCTGCGTCCAACCAACTCTCATTCAAATGAAAGTCTGAGGACTTATCACCTGAAAGATATAAGGCTCCCCGCAGAATCTTCACAGAAGGATCTCGGGGTTTGGATACAGAACAATCTGAAACCAACACTGCAGTGCCACAAGGCTGCAAAAACGTAACGGGAGTGCTGCATTTAATAAAAAGGGCTTTCGTAAACTTTGAGCAAGACCCTTTTGGGAGAGTTTACGGCAAATTTGTTCGGCCCCACTTAGAATATGGCATACAAGCATGGCGGCCGTGGCTGGTAAAGGACCAGGAATGACTCGAACGAGTACAACAGCGTGCAACAAAGCTGGTAAACAGTCTAAAAAGCCATTCCTACACAGACAGACTTAAGTAGAAAAATAGAAAAATAAATAAAATAAATAAATAAAATAAAAATAAATAAAGCGTTTAAACATAAATCCGACCGGCAGTGAAAAAAAATCTCCTGAGCTCAAGGGATAAAAATATAGTTGATGGTGGTTTTTATGGTTTGGATGGCTCAGGTGGTAGAATATCGACCGTCAAGAAGGTGGGAGGTTGCACGGCATCGGAGATTTTTGGACGTCAAATTCCTTTCATGAAGTTGGGGATAGCCGAAGTAGAGGCGTTGAGGAACAGCTGGTGAGACCGGCCAAAGTGTTCAGAGACCACAAACGCCATCGCTACGGTAGAGTCGATCAGTAGATTCAGCACCCAACATT